GTTGGGCGTACCAAAGGGTATGTTGTGCGTACGTGGTCAGCCCCTCGACTTCTGGTCAACAAGTAGTACACCCCGCGTATGTGTTGAGTATGCCCATCGTACTCACTGAGTTAACCGAGTTGACTCGTTTGACTTTCGACTTTGACCAAGATTTTGACCAAGTTGACCTAGGGGTATTTTGGGTATTTTGAGCTGTAGTCTGAGATTTGGTCACTGTTATTTGTAGAGAGAACCGACAGAGTTGTTTTCCGGAGCAACGTGTTGTTTCAACTTTTATCCGACCGTGAGCTGAGTTTTCTCACTGTATCCATGGGTCGAAGGCACCAATGCCGGCCCATCATTGTGTTATGTATGATGATAGTTGTTATGTGACTTATATGTGTTTGCATGTTCGGGTTGAAATAGACCCCAGGACGGAGCCGCCGTGAACCATGTCCTCTACGCGCCACACATCTGGTCGGCCAAGGTGACATGTCATTCACTACGTGGTGCCACATGTCGAGTATCCAGTGGGGTATCAGTGCACACAGTGCATGCTGTCAGTGCGCGTCGCACATGCTGTCTATGCGCGCGACCGCGTGCGGAAATTTATGATTTCTTAGAAAATTCATATCTTCTTCATACGAGCTCCGTTTTCGACGGGTTTTATATCCACGCGTAGCTATCGACGAGATCTAAAACTTTCATTTATACTCTGTCGGGTAATTTTGACTTTATTTTTAACGTTAATTTTTAACAAGCTTAGAAACTTAAAGTCCATTAAAAATCCATAACTCTCTCATATGATACATGTTTGTAACGCCCGTGTTTCTAGGCTAGACATTAATATTGACATGATAGTCTAGGTTAACCTTTGTGACTCATTTTGAAGAAATGAAAAGGAATTATGTGAATATTATGTGTTTTATGTGTTTTATGCTTAATTATTAGGGTTTAATTAATTAAGACTAAAAATGAGCGTCGAAAATAAATATTAGATAAAGCCGATATTTATTAAGAAAGTTGTAGTAGTCGTGACAAGGATTACGGATATATAAAGAATGCCGAAATCCGAGTTATAATGAAGAAGTTATGACCTGTCGAAGTTTCGCGACAAACCGGCACGGTGCCGAATGTCGTAAAAAGTGAGTTTTTGATAAACTACTTTTTAGCCTTAGTGATCTAAACGAAATTCGTAGTGTTCGTTAAACCGAGAGTATGTATAAAAAGAACGCCCAAATCTGACTTCGTATGAGGAAGTTATGATTTTTCGAAGTTTCAGCTTAGCAGTAGACAACTAAAAACTCGAATTTTAGATCGAGTGATTTTTAGCCGACACAACCTAAACGAGAATCGAAGGTCTCGTCTGTAGTAGCACAACGGTAAAAAGACAGACGAAAACGGACGTCGGATGAAGAAGTTATGAATTTTTAACGGATTTCCTGTCCCGGTCTGTTAAAAATAATAATATAAAAATTAAATTCAAAATTAGCCGACAAAGTCTAAACGAAAGTTGTAGAGCGTAATTTTACCTACACGTGCATATAAAGAACGTAAAAAACGGAGCTCGTATGCGAAAGTTATGGATTTTAGAAGTTTTGGAGCGAAAATCGAGAAAAAAATATCAAAACCGGGAAATTTCGCATTCGTGGACTTCGGCCACGTCACCTCGCTCAAATCGTGCCACGTGTCCGAATCGATGATGTGTCCGATGCGCTGGAACCTTGCATGCGCGCCCCGTGTCGCCTTGATCCATCCGAGCTTCGCAGGAGCCACGAACCCCCCCTCGTCGGACCCGAACTTCGGTCCAATCAGGAGCTGCCAGCGAGGCCCTCGCATGCGCAGCCCACGTACGAGCCAGGTGCTGCCCTCTTCGGATCTGCTGTCGCGTGTCTCCTTCTCAGCCATTGATCCTCGGTCTCGCAGCCTATAAATAGGAGGGTGCGAACCCTCCCGGCTAGAATTTAAGAATTGGCAATTTTGGCCCCTTTTTCAATATTTTGGCTATTTTCACATCCCCCAAAGCCCCGGTATTGATTATAGCACCCGAAACACGTCCCGAAGTGCCCGAAGACCCGGAAAATTTATCTTTTCGGTTTCGAAGCCCGACCCTTCGCAGAGCCCGATTTCTCAATAAAACTCTTGGTTTTATTAGAAACGATCGTTTTAGGAAACGAATTGCTGCCCGATTTTCATTAAATCAAGTAAATGTGTAGTTACTTTCACCTTACACATAGATATGAAGTATTTTACATAAAATACGTGTTGTGTGAATATATATTGTTTGTTTATTTGAGATGGGTGTTGAAGGAATGATTTATACAAGTTTTTAAATAATTTAAACTGTATATGTCTTTTTATCTACAAAAAATGTTGGGTAAAACATGGGTAGATGAAATAGTGAGTGTGATGAAAGGTGAGTTGGATAAAGGAGATGATCAGTGATATTGATCATGAGTTGAGGGTGAGTGGTGAAATTTAAGAGAATCACTTACCCAAACGTTGGCCCCCGTCATTCAGCAGAGTATGGATGACAACCATGAACTATTCTAGACGGTCTGTGGAACACTAGCATGCCCGCAACCTGTAGGTGTGTGAACTATATGTTCATCTGCTGTACTCTAAAAACCCATTGACATGTATTGCGGGGGGGATTCTTGTGAATAATACTGTCGATAAATGAGAGCTATGGACTTAGCACATGTTGAATAAACCTTGGCAGCTATAGACTTAGTGCCTGTTATATAAACCCTGGTGACGATGTGACTTCGTGCCTATTCCTTAGGATGAATCCTTAGGAAGGAGTGATAGTTGATTCTTAGGGTAAACCCTTAAGAAATAAATAAGATAATGGGGTTGGGGTAATTTGGTTGATTGATTGATGTTTAAGCATAATAAATTTATGTATTGTGGGTTGAAAACCCTATATGCTCACCAGGCTTCCAAGCCTGACCCACTCAGCTTTTTATATTACAGGTAGTGCACCCCGAGCATAGTCGGATGATGATGATGAGTGATTTTTGGATTATAGGTCGGTAGTTGTAAATAACTGTTGTAAGACTTATAATGTCTTGTTTATGCTTTTGATCTGTATCGGAACATGACATCCCGAGGTTTTGATATGAAATGAAAATATATATTTCATAAAGAAAGGTTTTGATAAACTTTTATCATGTTTTGTTTTGGGAACAAATTCTGCAACATCTTTTAAAAGGATTACTCTGATTTTATTTTAAAAAGCATAAAATAAATCGGTCTTTTCTGGACGAGAAATTAGGGGATGTCACACTGTTCTCGACTGTCTTTATATATACGGATAGGTATTGATGAGATATTTAAATCTTGTTTAGATTGATTTTCCTAAAAATCGACCGATTTCAATTTCGGTTCGTGAGCCGTATACTACTACGCTGAAACTTTGAAAAATCATAACTTCCACTTATGAAGTCAGATTTGGACGTTATCTATATTCTTGTTCTCGGTTTAATGACTACTACAAATTTCATTTAGAGTTCTTAGGCTAATAAACCACCTATCTCCGATTCGTTATTCACAAAATACTGATTGAACGCGAAACTTCGGTAGATCATAACTTCTTCACTCGAAGTCGGATTTTAGAGTTCCTTATATGTATAGAATCCTTGTCTCATACACTATAAATTTAGTTAATATTATTTATCCTAAATAATCTTCTGTCAAAAGTCGTTTTAACGCTAAATATATCTTAATCGACTAGCCCAAATATGCCTGTGTTACAACAACTGCGTTCTTACATTAAAAAAATGAGTTTTAGGCTGCTTAAGGAAGAGGTCAAACAGACTTTTGGAATTAATGTGAGTTTGAGTCAGTGTAGGAGAGCAACGTAACATGTTATTCGTCTAATTGAAGGCACAGTGGTTGAGCACTATGCATAGCTTTGGTTATATGGTGAAGAGATAAGATGATCAAACCCTGGATCAACTATGAAAATGGATGTGAATAGTATGCCAAATGGGAAGACATAGTTTAGTAAGGTTTACGTATGTTTTGAGGGACTAAACCTTGGATGGTTGTTTCTTAAAGGGGTTATGCACTGGAGAGTTAATATATGCAGTTGGAAAGGATGCTAATAATCAAATTTTCCTAATTTCATGGGCATTTGTTTGTGTGGAAAACAAACAGAAGTGAAAATGGTTTTTGGAGAATTTAAGGGATGGCTTAAGAATGGAAAAGGGTTTCGTTTTACTTTGATGTCAGATCATCATAAGGTATGTCACTTAGTCCACAATGTTATTTTAACTAAACTCTAGTTGTATTTGTTTAACAATGAACCTTTATTGTGTAGGGGCCGTTGGAGGTGTTAAAGAGATTTTGCCTACTGGTGAACACAGCCAGTGTACAAGGCGTATTCTTGCCAACTTCAGGAAAAGATTCACTAGAGTACACTATGAGAGGATGTTTTCGAAGGCATGTAAGGCATTCACTGAGCCTTTATTCAATGCAACAATGAAGGAAATTCAACTTCTTAATCCTGTAGCCTTTGCATATCTAATGGAGAAGAATCCAAAATCATGGTATAGAGCTTTCTTTCAGGAGGGTAGGATGTGTGACGCAGTAGAAGAAATTAGATTTTATGTTATGGAAAAGCAGTTTAGTTTGAGCATCAAAGGTAGTTCATGGCCTGAATTTAAGCCATGTCCAACAATTATAACCTTAGTGAATCAGTTGCAAAAATCTCAAAGGTAAATATCTTTTCTTTAAGTTAATAAGATAAAACTATTAACATAGACTAACTTCTATATAATGTCATTAGATATTGACAGGTTTTACCAACTGGTTTAAACTAGTTTGTGACAAGAAACTTGGCAGAGTATTTTGTGGTGGATTTAGACAAGAAGACATGTTCTTGTAGAGTGTGACAATTAAATGGGTATAGGTGTGTGCATTCAGTTGAAACTATCTCCTATCGTAATAGAGATGTTGGAAGTTATGTGGATCCTATGTACTATGTATCAGTTTAGAGGAATACTTACAAGTATCCAATGCATGGGATGAATGGTAGAAATATGTGGCCATGTACTGAATTCATACCACCACTGCCACATTTGAAAAGAAAAATGTTGGGTAGATCAAAAGTTAATAGAAGAAAGGACCCAAGTGAAAAGACTACAAGACACATTGTGTCAAAGTTTGGGAAGAAAATTTTATGCAATGTGTGTAAGTAAGTTGTACATAACAAGGTTATATGTCCTCAAGTTGAAAAGCCCAAAAAAATAAAGGTGAAGAAGAGAAAGAGATCAACTGATAAAGATGGTAATGGAGGGGAAGGAATAGGTGGAACAAAACCAAATGAAGATGCAAGACCTGAAGACAAAGGAAAAGAGGGTACACGAAAAAGGAAGCTTTCTGAAAGGATTATCAAGAAAAAACAAGGTTAAATGGTTGAAGGAAAAAATGGAGAGGGCAATACAGGTGATACTCCATTGGATGTTGAATAAGGGAAAAGTTTCATTTTGTATCACTATGTACTAATGATTGGATGTTGTTTGATTTAAATTTGGATGTTTGATGCATGTTATGTACTCGAGTTGGTTGTTAGACTAGTATGTGTGTTGTTATTTACATTTTTGAACCTATGATTTTATGTAATGTAATGGACGTGCATGGTTTTATGATGTATCTTCTTTATTATTGTATGTTTATGTGATCCCATTAGTAGTCCAATTAGTGTATGTTCTTTATTATTGTATGTTTATGTGGGTCCAAAGAATGTATTTATTATACATCACAAGAAAATGTCATTTTCATTAAAGTGAAGGACGATTACAACCACATATGTTACTTATTAAACATCACAAGAAAATACCATTACCAATCCCTACAATTTGTAAACTATTATCACAAAGAAAACAACCCAACTAAGAATGAACAAAATTTTCAGCTTCCTAACATCCGAGTGAAGCTTATTATTTGACGTAGCTAAAATTGCAATCATATGTGCCTCACCCCTTGTGTTCGTAGTCTCCACTTGGTCTGCCCAACATTAAACCCATCACGAGGGTCCTGCCATGAAAGATTTGCAACTTAGATACGAAAACGCAAGAAACCATTTTTAAATATAGCGCTATATTTTGAAGGAAAATGCAATCAATTTGTACCTTGTTGGGGAAATCATAAAAGGGTCGTCCAAGGTTTGATTGAGTAGTTGAGGTTCGTATTATAACATCAAATCCACATGAACATTCCACCGATTTCGTCGATCCCTTCAGTTGCGTAATGTTACTTCCAAAGAAACAAGGACAAGAGAGCAAAACAAGGTAAAAATTGGCCACAGATCTGTCTCTTGTGTGTATACTCGACGTTAAAAGGTGAAAGGACGAAAGTACCCCCGACTTTGGCACTAACTAACTGCACTGAAATAGGGTTAGTGTCTTAGAAAATCTTATTTTAAATTTTAAAATAATATTAGTCATAATAGTTAGATTCCCTAGCATAACACATATCCTCATTAACACATGTCTTCGTTTCGATTTCATTCAACAAGGTTGCATAGTTAGTTTATACAAAATTGCCTGTTCTTACATAGGTCTTCAACCTCTATTATGAGAACATTAAGACACTAACACTATGTTTATAACATACACCGAACACAACACACCATATTAACCCTAAAAACTACTAATAACAATAGAATCCTACACAAACACATCGATAACTAAACATCACAAACACATCAATACCTAAACATCAATTGTTGATAAGAGAGTGAACTTTTTCCACGAGGAAACCAAACATCACTACCATCAGTCCTACCACCAGAATAGTCAGAGTGTGCACTTTTTTCTCGGTATGTGTTAAATGGCGTTGCAGAGCGAGTGAATCGACCTTGGAAATCACCAAATCACAACTTATTTCCTCATTTATGCGATCCACTTTGATCTGTTGTAGGGGTGAGCAAACCCAAACCAAGAAACCGAGAAATCGATTAAAACCGACGAAACCAAAACCGAAAAAACCAAAACCGAAGCAAAACCGACGGTTAGGGTTTGAATTTTTTAAAAACGAAAAAATCGGGTTCGGTTTCGGTTTTTACCCAGAAACCGACCCATCCAACCCGAGAAACCGACCCATACTTAAAACCGACAAACCGCCCTAAGAAACCGACCCATACTTGATTTTTTTTTTTTTGTAATAGACTATTTCGGGCTTTGGTTGTAACTTGTAATAGACTATTTGTTGTAAGACTCATGTTTTTTGAAGTATTTAACTTAAATTTGGCGTTTTTTGAAGTATTTAACTTGTTGTTTCATTTGTGGAAAATGGGTTAAAACCCAAAACTCATGGGTTTAAACCCAGAACCCGTGAGTGTATGGGTTGAACCCAAGAAATCGAAAAACCGCCCAAACTGACCTCAGAACCCGAGAAACCGAACCGACCAGATTCCGATCCTATTGGGTTCTGAAAACCAGAAACCGACCATTTATGGGTTGGGTTGGGTTGGGTTTAGATCCAAAACCGACTCAAACCGACCCATGCACAACCCTAATCGGTTGTTCAACTATTTTAACCCTACAATCATAGAATATAGAGTGCAAGTCACCGAAGTTGAGTCTGTCACGTGAATTTATCGATATCGAATCCGATGATGGTGGTGGGGTAGACATCTCTTGAATCTCGTGAAAGCGATACTTGTCTCCTCCTTGTCGGTATGTGTTTCGCCGAAAATATGTATAACCTTTTAGGGTTTGAATGAACAAACCCTTCCTTTTATGTGCAATGGGTCCACAGTAACCCTTAGGGCCCAAGCAAAGAAACCGGACTCAACTCGCTGACGTGTACAGCGAGTTGACTCAGAGTTAACTCATTGGATGACATGGACTACGACCTGTCTTTGAAACCTTTTAAAACCGGTTAAAGTACCAATTTGACCAGTAAATCAACAATTCGTACCCCTTTAATTCAAAAAAATAAATAAATAAATAAAAAAGAACATACAAACAAAAAAAAAAGAAACAAAAGAAACCATTTAAACCAAAAGGTGTAACATGATTGGGCTAGAGGGACATTTCCCCTTTATATAATTATGTTTCATTTTTGTAAAGGATTTACCAAGTTATACATTGTATAATTGTTGAAAACAAAATAATAATACGCGTATTTTGGGCATACATATAGTCATATGCAGAACACACACGCACGAAAAAAGAAATAGATTAAATACCGAAATTGCCCCTAACATCTATCTCCCTATAAAAGCTAAACTCGATTTCCATTTGCAATATCCCCGACCCCAACAGCTTCGGAAATCAATTCTATTTCTCTCTCTAAAGGTACCCACAAGACGTCAATTTCTGACCGAACTGGCTAACCCTCAAGAAGCTCTGGAGGATTCCAGCAATAAGAGCGTGGTGCTCCAGCTCTACCATGCCCTAAGCTGCCGCGACGTCGAAACCGTCCACAAGCTCTTAGCACCTGACCTCGAGTGGTGGTTCCATGGCCCTCCGTCTCACCAGTATATGATGCGATTGCTCACCGGAACCGACAACGACAACACCGACTCCTTCGAATTCGTTCCTCTTTCCATTGACGCGTTTGGATCTACAGTCATCGTCGAAGGCTGCGATCAGGATCGCGAAATCTCCTGGATCCACGCCTGGACTGTTAACTCGTATGGCATAATCACTCAGGTACGGGAGTACTTCAACACTTCCCTCACTGTCACTCGTTTCGGTACTACTACGACTACTAACTCTTCCAAATCCCGCTCCATTACTTCGCTCCATTGTCCTTCTCTTTGGGAGAGCACCCTCTCTAATCGGGTCGGAAAATCTGTCCCGGGTTTGGTATTGGCCATATAGTAAAGGGGCGGATCCTCTTTATTATATTAAATACGTGTCGTGTGCTTGCTTGAATAAAAAACAATAATAAAGTCAAAGTCAAGAATTTGGAGCGTGGTGTGATTTCCTATGGGTTGAACTACCGTGGTATCTTGCGTCTGAGAGGATGTAAAACGTGCGGCTGAGATTCGTGTGGATACTGTTTGGTTATTAGCTTCTTTCTAATTGGGTCTGTTTGATTATTAGTTTCCTTTTGTGTGGTTTGTGTTTGGGCTTTTATTGTAATCCTAATCCAAGATGGGGATATACTCCTGTTCTTGGATATTTTCTCTTGTTTTAATAAAAATGCTTTATATTGATTTTCTAATAACTGCTGAAATGTTGCAATATTACTTACTAATAATAATAAATAACTATGTGATTCAAACTGAAATTTTGTTCGTTTTGAAATGATCCCACACACAACTCCAAATTAAATTTATAACGAGACATTCACGTTCAAGTTTATTTAAATTATTTATTTTGACTTTATGCATTTTGCGTTTTTGATTGATTTAAAAGTGTCTAAACTCTAAAGGGTTGTATCATACTCTTGAGCTAATCTTGTTGTAGAAGATCACGATATCGACTAATTTATCTTGAAATCCAATTTAATTAATCAACTGAAATAGATAGTTTCCACTTTATTAAAAACGTCTAATCGTGTGGTCATTTTTTTTATTATTTACATTTATCATTAAAATATATTTGTCGTGTAATAGTTATTATTTCGACTGATGATAGCCAGTTTAACTGGTTTTTGACGAAACCGCTTTTAATTTTTCTTATCCAATATGTTTTCTGGTGAGAAATCATCTATGGTTCGTCAAAAACCCATCTGACATATCTAATGACCAACCAGGGTTAAAAGAAGTAGAAAATAAAGTAAAGAGGGAAACAAGTTGCTTCAAATGCCTCTATGAAGTTGTTAATCGTTTCGTGTTAGATGATTTCCATCATTATTCATAAACCTTAAAATACAAAAAACATAAACCTTAAAGTTTCTTCACATTTTTGTGGTCACAGATTATTTAAAATTTTAAAATCCAATCTACCTTTTTTGCCGTCCAACTCCGTCACATCTTGAAAATCAAAACAAGACATTTGTGTGCGGGACAAATTGGACTTTTAAAAAAGAGATAATGACTTAAAATGGTAACATATTTTTTAATTTGTACACATTTACTCAGTGATTTTTTTTTTGGTCCACATTTTCCCATTGAACTTGTTGAACTGTTCAAATAACATCCTTATGACCTGCTATTCGAGGTTTAGCCGGTTTCCGGCGTATTTGACAACTCCGACGATGCTCCGGTCATCTTTTCCGGCGAGTCTCCGGCGTTCATGATTTTTCCGGCGAAGACGAACATACATACTTCAGATTTGTTTCAGCTTCTATTCTCCCCTCTTTTTTCTTATATTTTCTCATGAACTCAAGATATGTGATGAACACACATACATACACATCAGATGAGTGTATGTGTGTTGTTCCAAAATCAAGCATCAACACATCTGAAATCGTTCCAATAAACCTAGATCTGATGTTCAAGCATGAACACATACACACAAACACTTCTGGAGATTGTTTGATTTATGTGAAAAAGATGAACACACACATTGATTTTTGATTTCTGTGAAGAAGATGAACACATTTTTTGTTTAAGAACACACATCGTTCAAGAACACACACACGATTTTTGTTCAAGAACACACACATCGACTTTCAGATCTTCAGATATCTTCATTCGATTTTCAGATCTTCATATATCTTCATTCGATTTTCAAGAATACATACCCAGAAAAAGACGAACACGAACACACACTCAAAAAAAGATAAACATTAACACACACTCAGAAAAAATCGAAATCTGATGTTCATCATCTTCAACCTCTTCATCGTCTTCAACACAGATCTAACATCGGATCTGAAATCAAATTATCTCCAAGAACAAATAAGAAATTGATTTTGTGTGTTTTGGGTTCCTTGAAGATGGTTTTCCAAAATCGAGCTTGAAGATGAGCTCGAGTTAGGGTTTTCAAACCCAGAAATCGAGTTTGAAGATATGGGTTTGTGTTCTGATCTAGGTTTGTTTTTTGATCTGGTCCGTGTTTTTCGTGTTCTGATCTAACAAACACACTCAAATCTAAAGCCCTTGTGTTCTTCGTTTTCTTTGTGTTCTTCATGTTCTTCGTATTCTTGGTGTTCTGATCTAACACACACATGATGAACAACTGATGAATCAGATAAAGATCTCAAGAACACGATGAACAAACACATCAGAAGATCTTATGTGAGTTCTTGAGTTTGAATAGAAGAAGATGAAGAGTTGATTTTTGAGTTTGAGTTCTCGAGTCTGAAAATCTAACACCCATATGGGTTTATGTTCAAAATTTGTTCAGATCTAAGAAAGAGACGGGAGATAATAGACACGAGTTCTTGAGTTCACCGGAAAAATCATGAAAGTCGGAGTCTTGCCGGAGAAGATAACCGGAGCATCGTCAGAGTTGTCAAACATGCCGGAAACCGGCTAAACCTACGATTGAAGGTCATAAGGATGTTTTTTAAACGATTCAACAAGTTCAATGGGGAAATATGTACAAAAAAAAACTCAGTGACTAAATATGTACGAATCGAAAAATAAGTTACCCTTTTAAGTCATTATCCCTTTAAAAAATAGTTCATTTCAATGAAATATAAAATTCCAGTAGTTATGACAAAGTAATTTTATATTACTATTTTCTTACAGAAATTCAAGTGAACATCCGACAAAAAAGCAGATGACGATGACTAGCATTAGTAATGCGCATGGATTTTATTTTAGAAAAGTAAAGAGGAACTGAAATGACAATTTATGGTATTTTGCAATGTTTTTATCTAAAAATATTTGTAGCCAACTTCTTTTAGCCTTGTCTCAATCCTATCCTATAAAAAATAGGTGTTGATCTGTACACAACAATTTTTAGTCATGCTTAACAATTTGTGTTTTATATATTTGTATTGTTCAGCTCCATAAAGCATAAATTATTGTGTATGACAAAAAATTGTTGTGTACGAATCACTACCCATGTAACGAAAAAGCTTTTGTTCCAGGAGTTGCAAACCGATCAAACAACCACATTTTGTTTCTTCTGAAATTTCATAAATAAATGAGTTATTGACCCCCCACCCACAAATTTAATAAAATCAACATGCTTAAACAGAATCATGGTACAAATTTATGGGTTTAGGAAAATAAACTTATTGCAATTTGATTTTGTTATTTGAGGAGTAAAACCTCACGGTTTCGTTGAAAATGAAGCTTCAGCCGATAATAACTCTGCTTGTCTCTGGATTCCTAAGCTTGTAGCCTTTCAAAACCGATATATAACGAATAAAAATGCATTTAATTTCTTTTGGATTCAACTTTGCATTGTCTATTTGAGCATATGCAATGTACCTGAAAATCTATAATTCCGAGTAACATCGTTTCTTCACATGTGTGGTGTAGAGGGATAAGGTTTGTGTTAGAGAAATGAATGTCGAGTCCTGTATCTGTTATTCGTACATGCTATTTTTTTATTTCGTCGATTACCAAAATTTCCAATATGGGTATGACCATATATTTCTTTAGCGGTTTTGTCCTTATGGTTGTTGCTTCGTTTGTAATGTTTTGGCAAGTTCATCGATGTTGCCATTGCAAACTTTTCACTATTTCCCATTTAAAGATATTGTAGTTTGTAGTATCATGGCCAGTGATGCCTTGAAATTCACAAAACTTTGTGTTATCCCTTGGAGGTAGGCAAATTTGTGGTTTGGTGGGCGTTTTGACTTTATCATCTACAATTGTCGCTATTTTTGTTTTGGGGGGTGTGGTTTGTTTTTATTGAATGGTTAGAAGCAGGACTCATCCTGTCACTTAGAGTGGTTGCTCCCCATATGGGTGTTTCTATGTCGTTCTAGGTGATACTTTCTTTGTTTTAGACATCATTTGTATGGTTGTTGGGAGAGAGCTATGAGATCCTAGTCAGAGAGTTTATACTTTTCATTAATGTATTTTTGTTTGATGAATTTGTCTACCCTCTGAATAAGTTTTAGTCGTGTTTGGGAATTTTTCCAATAAGTTTCCAAAATAGTGGGCTTCGTCGTAGTCCATTGGTAAATGTCCATGTAAATATAACAACATTGTTGCCCGGGCATTAGAGACAAGTTAGATTACATCTTATAAATTAGTATGGCATGGTCTACCTTTGGACAAAATGGCTTGTGAATTCGCTCTTGAGTTCTCAATTCCGGTTGCTATTCCATGGTATGCGTTTAGCCACAAACATGTTGATCCTTCCAATGTTGTTTTGAAGTACATGCACCAGAATCATTGGACCAATTTCAGTGGCTCGGTATATGTTTTGTATGTTTCAATGTGGTACACCAAATTTGTGTTTCTGTCATAATTCTTTTGATGTAGGAGTTGTGTTCATAGGGGTGTGCTTATTCCCTAAGTTTAGCGACGAAGGGATGTGATATTCTATTGGTTACCATGCATTAGTCTGTTTTCTAAGGATCCTCCTTGCAACATGTTGTGCCCTATCATGGGTATTGCAGGTGCATTATGGATGTAAGCATGGTCGAGTTTCCTTTTTGCAAGCTTGATATTTCAGTACCTTGCTCGTAAATCTTGGTACCTAGCTTGGAAAGCCTAGTATACAGAAAATGTGAAGTATGTGTGATTCTAAGGAATTTTTGAGAGGGTCGGGGGAATGTTACGTATTGGGTTTGGGGGGACTGCGTTGATGAGGCTTTAAGGCTTAATTATTGTATTGGCATTTATGTATTGTACATGTGTAGAGGTGTTTCCAAGGTTGGAAATGTCAGTAAGAGCGAGGTTATAGGTGTGAGGTGTAGTATGATAGGTAGTGACATTACTTCCAAGGTCCCCATTTGTTGTATGGGGTTGGGTGTGACGCCATATTTTTGTTTTCCTGGAATTTCCTGTTAGATTAGTGTC